GTGCTGGAAGGAAGGCCAAGTGCGCGATTAGCAGCTCAGAGACACCTGGGTCTAGTTAGTATGGAGGAGAGCGCACGCACCTGCATGGTGCGATCCAGCTGCGAGACGAGCGTCTCTGCCACAAAGGGCGAAGAGAGGGAGAGACTGGCCGTGGAAGCAACGTGGCAGATTACTCCTGACCTCACCGCCACTGACCCTGCCTCCGACTCATGACTTCGACCCTTTGGACTGTATCTGGGCCCCAACCTTTGGATCTGCCCTGAACCGGCTCCTTTTGCCGACTCCGTGTACCACCTAGGAACTGGACTCTGACTGCCGCACACCGGATTGTGCCTTCACCTTGCCCGCACCTGAGCTTCGCTACCCATCCCCGTGCCTAGTGGGTACCAGGGCACTCTGCTTAGCCTGGAAGGTCCCTTTGCAGCCGAATCTGCCTTGCAACGATCAAAATAGGCAATGCAAACGCCCTGACCTGAACGGCCCAGGCAAGCCCCATCTCGTCAGATCTGGGAAGCTAAGCAGGGTCGACTCTGGCAAGTCCTTGGATGGGAGACCTCCTTGGAATACCAGCAGTCGGGAGGGCGGGGGCAGGCCCTATTCAGCCACCTCTCTGAATATCCTCCAGGCCCCCAGTAGGGGTCGGTCACCAGAGGTCAGCTTCCAGGTACATACACACTCACATGCACATACGAAAAATACAAAAAAGGGCAATGCAAAGACCACTTTTTAAAAGATCCCTAGCCCTGGTTCATACATTTGGCCCGGGACATCACAGTCACAGACTGAGGGAGGAGGAACGCGAGACCTTCCCTTTCAAAGTGCGGAGAAGCGTGACCGCAGGCTTTTGCGGAAGTGCCTGACCGTCCTGAAGCCCGGCTTGAAGACTTCCTTTCCTCTCTCACTTCCCATATTGTCCTCATCATATGGGTTGCCGTCCATCAGTGATTATATGGCGAAGGGAAGAGCTAAAGGAGCAGATGTGTGGATCTAATCGAGGGCCCTCAAGTCCCGCAGCCAGCCATATACACTGAGAAGCCCGCAGTCCCTGAGCGGGACAGCCCAGGCTAGCCCCGTCATGTCAGATCTCAGAAGCTAAGCAGGATCGGCCCTGGTTAATACTCAGATGGGAGACCACCAAGGAAGCCCAGGGTTGCGACACAGAGGCAGGCAATGGCAAACCACCTCTGAACGTCTCTTGCCTCGAAAACCTCCTGAGGGGGGGGTCACCATTAGTCATTCGCCTGCAACTGACGGCACTTTCCAGCGCCACACGTTCCACCCAGAGTTACCCTGTTTTATAGTCACAGCAACCCTGCCGGGTAGGCAAGGCTGAAAAGATGATGACTTCCAGGCTGAGGCCGCCCGGGGGCTTCACGAGCGAGCAGGGCTTTGGATCTAGGTCCAGTCTGGTCCACTCTGCCCACCACGTGGCACTGCGCCTCACTCTTCCAGATAGTTCTGCAGATATCGCCCCGGTCGCTGAGGGGATCGCATCCCCCCGAGGACTCCAGCCCAAGGGTGGGCCGCTATCTCCGGTGGGTGCTGAGCCAGTGGTGCGATTTTCCGTCTGTTCTATTGGCTTCCCGGCCTCTTTGGCTCCTTGAGTGCAGAAGAGTTAAGCAGGGAGGAACTAGCACCATGGCCGCCGTTTCAGGGACTCCCCTGTTTTTCCTCATTCAGCTTTCATGTTTGAGGGGTATAAAAATGTCCCTTAAATTTTGGACTGTCAAAACGCATCTCTTTAAGTCGCGGAGAAAGTTGTGAAGCACCTCCCATGTTGTTGCTAAGGCAAGAAGAGGAGGAGGAGGAGGAGACTGGATTTATACCCCACCCTTCACTTGGAGTCTCAGAGCGGCTTACAAACTCCTTTCCCTTCCCCTCCCCACAACAGGCACCCTGTGAGGTAGGCGGGGCTGAGAGAGCTCTGACAGAAACTGCTCTTTTTCAAGGACAGCTCTTACCAGAACTACGGCTTGCCCAAGGTCATCCAGCCAGGTGCAAGTGGAGGAGTGGGGAATCAAGCCCGGTTCTCCCAGATTAGAGTCCGCACACTTAACCACGACACCAAACTGGAAGAGGTTGTTATTCATTTATTTATTATTTTCGATTTATATCCCGCCCTTCCGGTATAACCAGGCTCAGGGCGGTGTACAACAGGTTATAAAATACAATAAAATATGGATGCATAAATGCAATATTATAAAATTCACGTAACAAGCAGTATACAAAGTGCAGTTAAGTGCAGATGGCGATTACTGTATGGTGGTCCAATGTTGCTGAGCCAGTATCCTTAGTAGTTCTTAATGCCATTAACATGAGGGCCGTAGCATTTGTAATAATTCATTAGTGGTGGCTCCTACTCGAAGGCCTGGTGGAAGAGCCCCGTTTTACAGGCCCTGCGGAACTGTAAGAGGTCCCACAGGGCCCTGATGTCTTCCTACGGGGCCCTACGGGGGAGGGCGGGATATAAGTTTAATTAATAAATAAAATAAAATAAATTCCGGGAGCTCATTCCACTAGCTCTGGTAGACGCCAATCTGGTGACTTTTGGACCAGGGAGAGTCAGGCGGTTCTGCAACCCTGACCTCAGTGCTCTCTGGGGGACATACGGGGAAAGGTGGTCCCTCAGGTAGGCAGGCCAGACGCTGGGCCATTGGTGCCTTAGACAGGGTGGGACTACAGAGCTAAGAGTTTTCACAGCTTCTGGGTGGAAAGTCTTTCCAGGACTGAAGGCCAGGCCCAGACCTGGAGTGAAACCCCACCGGCAGAGAGAGCAGCAGAAGTATGGTCCAGAATAGCAAAGAAAGCCTAGCTGTAAAGGCGCTGGTTTCAGTGCTTGGGCTTTTCCCTCACACAAGGAACTCCAGGGATCCTTAGGAAGAAACCACAGGATAGTTAAACTGCTGCAGAGCAGGGTTGGGGCATTTGTCTGGTCCAAAAATTCTCAGACAGTTGGCTAAAAGCCAGTTTGGTGTAGTGGTTAAGTGCACGGACTCTAATCTGGGAGAACCAGGTTTGATTCTTCACTCCTCCACTTGCAGCTGCTGGATGACCTTGGGCAAGCCATAGTTCTATCAGAGCGCTTCTTGAATTTCTTCACTCCTCCACTTGCAGCTGCTGGATGACCTTGGGCAAGCCATAGTTCTATCAGGGCGGTTCTTGAAAGAGCAGTTCTTGGAAGAGCTCTCTCAGCCCCACCTACCTCACAGGGTGTCTGTTGTGGGGAGGGGAAGGGAAAGGAGTTTGTAAGCCACTCTTGAGTGAAGGGCGGGGTATAAATCCAATCTCTCCGCTTCTTCTTCTAAACAGTTTGTCAAATGCTTTTAAAGCGTTAATTTTATTGGAATAAAATAGATTCTTTAATCAGCAGCAGGTTGGAATTGGATATATGCTAATTTGAAGAAAATGATCTATTTAATTATATTAACTTTTTAAAAAAAAAACTGTAATGCATTGTTGTAACTTCTAGCAAAATTAGGTAAGGTATCTATAACAGTGAATTATTTATTGGACTGTCCTTCCATTTGGTTTTTATCCTGGAATACTGTGACCAGCCGACCGTGAAAGAATGAACAATAAATGAAACAAGCAGGGACCCACGAGACACTCACGGGGGAGGGGAACTGTGGTGGCAGTGGCACCGTCACTCACTCACTCACCAGGCCCCCTCTCCACCACCCTGGCTGCCCTCCTTTACCGCCGATGCTCTGCACGCCCGGCCACTCACCCCATCCTCTCTGCTCCTCCTTCCCCACTTGCTCCCCCTCTCTCCACTGCCCAACCGTCTTCACCCCTCACAGTGGGCTGCCCAGTTGCAGCACCACTCCACAGGCCAGGTTTACATAGTGGTGGTGGGGGGCTGCGGGGGCTCCAGGTCCACCGGTCCCACCCACAGCTCTGCTGCCTTGGCAGCAGAGGGGGAGAACAGCAGCACCCGTGCCCACCTGGTTGAAGCAGTGGTGGTGGGTGCTTCCGGCAGCTCTTGGGTCCTCCTTGCCACCCACCATCTCGTAGAGGGGAGGTGGCAGTGGCAGAGCTGCCGTCAGGAGCGGTTGTGCAGCCACATGAGCTTGGTTGGCTCACCCCCACTCAGGGTGAGTGTATGTCCCTCAGTTTGGGGGGTTTTACACCCCCTCCAGCCGTACTTTTTAAAAAACTTTTCATATTCTGTAACCCGGGGAGGGGTTCTCCCCAAGTCTGAAGAAGAATCTCCCCGAGTCTGTGCCTGGCCCTGGTCTGCAGATGGGGGGCATGTAGTCTGTTTGGTAGCCTGATAAAAGTCGGGTAACTTGGGATGGGTAATCCTTGTAGTGTACGCCTTGTAGTGTACGCCAGTTTGGTGTAGTGGTTAAGTGCAGGCGGACTCTAATCTGGGAGAACCGGGTTTGATTCCCCCACTCCTCCACTTGCGGCTGCTGGATGACCTTGGGCAAGCCATAGTTCTGACAAAAAGGTGTCCTTGAAAGAGCAGTTCCTGAAAGAGCTCTCTCAGCCCCACCTACCTCACAGGGTGTCTGTTGTGGGGAGGGGAAGGGAAAGGAGTTTGTAAGCTGCTCTGAGACTCCAAGTGAAGGGCGGGGTATAAATCCAATCTCTTCTTCTTCTTCTTGGTTCCTGAGGCAAGCAAGGAGTGGTTGGGGCGGGGAGTCCTACGCTCTGGGCCGCTGATGACTCTTCATGTTCCTGGATATGTTTGAAACTGCCCTTGGTAGTAGCAAGGGGCAGTAGGAGCTTGGCCTTATGAGATATTTGACTGTAGTCAGATAATGGTGGGTGACTTGGCTCACATTCCAGCCCTACAACAGGGTCACACTTCCTTTCCTGTCATTTGTGTGGGAAGTGCCATGTGACCCACAGTGTGTCTTGACAGCGAGGTCCATTGTTGGTCAGGCCAGTTGAAATGACAAGGTGGCTCAGACTGGTTCCGTACCTGGAAACGCCGACACTGGTTGAGGTGCAGGGAGAGGAACGTGACCCCTTGCGTGCCTTTTGTCTTCCAGTGATGGCCTACATGCAGTTCGTAGAAGACTACTCCGAGCCGCAGCCTTCCATGTTCTACCAGACGCCGCAGAACGAGCACATCTACCAGCAGAAGAACAAGCACCTGAGGGAGGTTTATGGGTTCAACGACTCCTTCAGCAGCGCAGACTCTGGCCAGGATCTGGCCCCGCCCCCGGCTCTGCCACCGAAGCAGCGGCAGCTGGTGAGTCCCCCTCGTCATAGTTTGGCCCCCAGATCTTCAGACTCTTTGATCTCTCTCTCGCAAGCACCGTCCTGGCTTTTGGCGTCCTGATGCTTTGTGTTTTCTGGGCATCTGCTGGACCCAAGGTATTAAAAGGGAGGTATTGAAAGGGGAGCCATGGCAGCTTGTCATCTGGAGGGCGAGTTTGGCTTTGCAGCCTGTGTAACGATAACAGAAGACAAAAACAAGTGTAGTTAACAGACTCAACAATTACAACTTGCCAAAAAGCTGAAGAACGTGTAATAGAGAATGATGTATACAAAGCAGCTACAATGAAAAAGTACAAAATGTAAAAAATGGAGAACTGGTATGTGCTACAGTGTATAAACAATGGAGAACTACTAAATAATTCGACGTTGTGTCCAGATTTTTGATAACAACGTTTCAATGTTCATCCTTCATCAGGGTGTTCTATAATAAAATACATAACTTACTAAGTAAAGGAGAGCCATACAAAGAAATTGCAAGGTCAAGTGATGTATTTTATTATAGAACACCCTGATGAAGGATGAACTTTGAAATGTTGTTATCAAACACAATGCCGAATTATTTAGTAGTTCTCCATTGTTTATACACTGTAGCACATACCAGTTCTCCATTTTTTACATTTTGTACTTTTTCATTGTAGCTGCTTTGTATACATCATTCTCTATTACACGTTCTTCAGCTTTTTGGCAAGTTGTAATTGTTGAGTCTGTTAACTACACTTGTTTTTGTCTTTTATTATAATTATATAGTAGTGTAATGAACATTATTGAATGATGCTTGCAGGCTGTGTGACAGACAGACCGACTGACCAGTTGGATCCTGGCTCATCTGTTTTGCTTCTTTTCTCACCCCCCCCCCCCATGCCTCGGGTCCACTTTTTTGTATTTTTAAGGTAGAACGTGTGTTTTTCATTTGCATTTTCTTCAAAAAAACAGTTGCAATTTTTAATATGCATGCTTGTTTAGTGTAACTTATTCTGCCTGTGTGGGGAAGGGTGGTGCAGGGTATGACCCCCCCCCAACAAAACGCTCTTTGATTTGAACGCTTGTGGGGCCGGCCATGTTTTGTCCTTTCCTTTCTTTGTCTTCCTTGCACTTTCTCTCTCTTCCTTCAGCAGGCCTCTTTTGCCACCTCCTCCTTCTCCTCTGTCTCCTTCTGTGTCCAGCCTCCTCAAGTGCCCTTCGGCCCCGAAGACGGTGGCACTGCTCAGGGCCTCAGTATGTCCGTCTCTAACTCCTTCCTCCACCAGCACAGCTCCTTCCCTGTGCACTCGGTGAGTTACTAACTGGAGACTCTTCTTCCTCTGCCTCTGTCTCCCTCTGCTGGGGGGATTTCCTGGCCTGGGGGGTCTGGGGGGGGGAGATTGTCTTTTTCGTTCTCCTCCCAGTGCCAAGTTTAACTGTTGAGTTTCAGGAACACGTGTTGGAATTACAAAGCTCATATTCAGAACATCCCAGCAAGGGAATTGAGTGGGGGGGGGGGGCTGGGTTTTAGAACTGATGACTCCCCACCCCCAGGCATTGAAAATAAAGCCAACGTAAGGAACGGCAGACATGAACCTGCAACATCAATCCGCAAGGCGCATCAGCCACACATAAAAGCTGATGATATGTAAAGTTTGGGTTTAAAGTCTCCCTTCTGAATAAATCAAAACAGATCAAAATCCAAAGTAAAATGTAAACATTCTTTTATCGTTCCCATCACGTCGAGGGCTTAGATGAGTCCCCTAAAATGCTCCAGAGATAGCATCAAAATTCAAGTCTGCAAAATGATGATTTTGGAACTTTGGAGCTCCTTCATCCTATTTGAGCATCATTCAAACATAACAAACGAAGTACAGGACAGAGTTTGAGTCCATGGGCACCTTTAAGACCAACAAAGTTTTATTCACGGTATAAGCATTGGTGCACCTGCACACTTCTTCAGACACCCCCCCTGAAACAAACTACGGTTTCTTTGCGGAGGGAGCACCTTGGAACGGTTGGCCTCTTAACGTATTGATAGACTACCAAGGCGAGCACTTTAAGTAATATTGTATGATTGTTTTAACTGGTTTTAAATGTTTTAAATGTTTTATGCTAACCAGCTATATTACGCCGACAAATGCGAGCCACCCTGAGCCCGTCCGTGGGGAAGGCGGGATATAAATCTAACTAATAAATAAATAAATAAGTCTTCAATTGCACCCCAGTTTGTTTTGCTATACAGACTTGGATGCTTTCAACCAGTTGTTTCCAATGTTCCCTCTAAGGTGTGGAGTCTTGTGAGCAAGAATTCTACTTTGTGAGCTACTGGCCTTAAAGTGGTGAGCGAGCAATTTGGCTGCTGCATCAATCAGTTTGCTTTGGAACCCTCCTTCCTGAGCTAAGGCAAAAACGTGTGAGCCGGAGGCTAAAAAACTGTGAGCTAGCTCACACTAACTCAGCTTAGAGGGAACACTGGTTGTTTCACTGTTCAGTAACCAGGATCCTAAACCACGGTTTAAAATTACAATCGCTGGGCAAGAGTAACGCCCCAGTTTGTTGCAGTGCCTGAATTCAGACATCACAGCCAATTATGACTACGGTACAGCCAAGATCTCCTAAACCAGGAAGTCTTCATTCTTCAGGACTCTGCCTGAGGGGAGAAGGAAGGCAAGGAATTTGTGCACCAGAGGATTCCGGGCAGGTTACCTTTTGTGATGTAGCCACAAGACTGATGCTGTTCCAGATATGCCAAATGAGCTTCCAAAATCATCACTTTTTTCCCCTGTTGAAGCAGGCAACAGCTTTGGATTGGTGGGATTCCTGTCTGAAACTGTGTCGGCTTCAACCGCAAGTCAAACGGTGAATTTTGAAGTTTTCATTTGGAATACCATTTCAGAGATTTTAGGGGATTCATCCAGGACTTCAACACTGGGTGCAGTCAGGGGTCATTTCGTAGAAAAAGAGGTGCAGGAGCTCATTAGCATAACTCATTAGCATAACTTATTTGCGTACGCCACACCCCCTGACATCACCGGAAGTGTGTCAGAAGGCAACACCCACCGCTCAGGCTCCACTGGACTGTTTTGGATTGCTAGCTATTGGAGGGGGGATGTGCAGATCTGTCCTCGCAGAGGAGGGAGAGCTTGTACCTGAATAAAACTTGGTCTTAAAGGTGCCACTGGACTGTTTTGGACCGGGGGGGCTCTGCAACTTACCTGGCTGCATCTTGCTCTGACTAAGGGCTACTGGGAGCAGGGGGTGGGGCTTGTTGCAAGTGCCCGCCCCCTGGGCTCTTTACTGCTGGAGCTCCGCTCCTGTGCGCTCCTGCAGGAAATGCCCCCTGGGTGTAGTACAGGTGTGAACTGATTGAACTGCCGTTCCTTGTCCCTGGGGAACGGCACAATTGTGAGCAAGGTGGGCTAAGGATCTGAGGATTCTCAGTACATGAATGCCTGGGGCTCTTTGGAGGAAGCTGTAACAGTTGACGTGGTGCTAAACCCATCTGAATGTGGGTATACCTTGTAGGGACTAGAAATATAACACGTCCGGTATGTGCCGTCTGCCCATAGCTTCAGCCTCTCTGTTTCTAGAGAGTGTCTTTGAGTCTTCCAGTTTCCACTGGAAGGCTCTCTGAAGCAGGGGTGTCAAACATACGGCCCGTGGGCCGGAAGCAGCCCGTTGTCAGGTTCAATAGAGCTGTTGCAGTCCACAACGATTCATAAGAATAGGTTGCTTTATTACAAGTCACTATTGATGCTCTTACATAGTCATTGTCAGGAATGAAACTCAAAACCAAGCAGGGACAGATATAGAGAGTTCAAACACACAGGATTGTCCAATGAATACAGTTTGTGCACAGCAGAAATTCGAGCGGGAGAAAATCAAGGCGGGAGATAGCTTCCAGCCGTTTGAGTCACACCAGCCAGATTGGGAACGGCTCCAGCAGCAGTTCTCACCGGCTTACCAACTACAAAGGCAGCGCAACCTTCCAAAGCCAAAACAAACGTCACCGCGGCCCTGAGAGGAAATGAACAGAGAAATGCAGGCTAGTTTCACCACCCACCCCCTATCATACAGCAGGCAGGTTACACATAACATACCCAGAGTACAAATGGCAGTTTACTTCCAGGGCTCTTAGCTGGTCGTTACCTTTATTGCCAGGTGACCGAGGCTGTGCATTCTGTCCCCGTATCCTGTCCCAGTGCTAATGTGTTAACGTCCGGTGGAAATGGGAGTATGGGCATCAGGGAGATACTTGGAGGAAATACTATAATTCTGTTAATGTTTTAAGCATGTTTGTATGTTGAGTAAAAAATAATATCGTTATTTAGATTTAACAGTGTCCTTTATAAAGTTTATATCGCTGGTACCTGGCATTACATTTTATGGCACACACGGCCCGGCCCGACAAAGTGACACTTATGTCAGATCTGGCCCTCGTAACAAATGAGTTCAACACCCCTGCTCTAGAGTCTCTGTTTCTCCGCACAACCCGGGCTTGTCATTTCTGTTCATTATTGACCAGTTTTGAGAAATACGTACACTCTGGTTGAAAAATTCCGGTGCCGCAAGGGACACCATGTGGGGATTTTTCAAAAGCGGGATGTCAGAACCCTGGGTTTCCTGCTGCTGATCTAGGAGAGTGGAGGTTTACTGGACAGACAGACAGATAGAGGTGTGTGTGTGTAAAGTACCCGTCAGTTCACAGTCGACTTATGGCAACCTCATGGGGCTGTCAAGGCAAGAGACGTAGGAAGGTGGTTTGCCATTGCCTGCCTCTGCGTAGCAACCCTGGACTTCCCTGGTGGTCTCCTACCCAAGTGCTAACCGGGGCTGACTCTGCTTAGGTTCCGAGATCGAGTCAGCCTGGTCCAGCCTGGTCAGGACCAGTGTTCCCTCTAAGCTGAGTGAGTGTGAGCTAGCTCACAGTATTTTAGCCTCCAGCTCACACATTTTTGTCTTAGCTCAGGAAGGAGGGCTCCAGAGCAAACTAATTTACGCCGTAGCCAAATCACCCGCTCACAGCTTGAATGCCAGTAGCTCAGAAAGTAGAATCTCTGCTCACAGGACTCCACAGTTTAGAGGGAGCGTTGGCAGGACAGACAGACAGATTTTAAGATAGGAGGATTCTATTACGGATGTGATACGGATGCAAAGAAACAGTGTGAGGCAGTGCTTCCGGAGAGCTTTGTGCAGCGGGCCCTTCTCTTCCAAACGGTCACTGGTTAAAATTTTTTTGAGGAATCTGAACTTTAAATAAAAAAAACCACCGATCCTTCTGCATCCCTTACGTGCCCGCACGTCTTCCGTCAGTGACTTGGCCACTTTTTCCCCAACCTAGTAATAACAGCCAGCCTTTTTAAACAGCCAAAGATAAACCCATTAAGAGATTAAGCAGCAAGGGCCTGACGATCGCCACCCTTTAAAACGATACACCCTCACAGAGAAATCTCTCCTCCATGGGCACCCAAGCCTCTTAAATCAATAGGAGGGGAAGAGGGAAGCAAGGTAAAGGTTGTATGCTGCAGCAGACAGAACACAACTTCTCTGTGCCTGAATAATTTTCAGACCTACCCACCGTGGTTACTGCTTGTGGGGACTTGGCTCCCCCCACCAAAAACACACACATTTCAGTTCTCCTCCAAGAAACCTAAATGCAGGTTACATGATCTGCATGTTTTATTTCTGAAGGTTATGCAGTTACTCATAGCAAATGCTTGTAATTCAGCAGTCGGCATAATCTTGCATTTTTATTCCTGCACGTGATTCATTCTGCTTCTCCTGCACCTGAGGAGGCATCTGCACTTGTGCATAATAGCCATGTACAAGCACCTTCACCTGCGAGACTCGCAAGTTTGCTGTCGTTCACACACTTGCCTTAGCCTGAGTTGAAAGATAGGAGTGTTGGAATCAGTGTTATCTCTAAGCTGAGTTAGTGTGAGCTAGCTCACAGTTTTTTCACCTCCAGCTCACAGGTTTTTGTCTTAGCTCAGGGAGGATGGCTCCAGAGCAAACTAATTTATGCAGTAGCCAAATCTCTCACTCACAACTTTAATGCCAGTAACTCACAAAGTAGAATTTTTGCTCACAGGACTCCACAGCTTAGAGGGAACATTGGCTTGGAATCCCTCACTCTGCATCAGCTGTGTGACTCCTCTCATTCCATCCCTAGATATATGCGAGCAAATCAGAGATTCAGGGTCTGCTGTACCAGGGCAGGTGAATTTTGAGCCCCAAGAGATTCAGTGATATTATTTTTTTGTTTCCATCATCCTCGATACCCCCACCCTTCTACCCCCCCCCAATG